TGCGTCTGTGCCGTTGCTTCCGGGCCATTCCCATCCATACTTGATGGAGTCCTGTGTTTGATTGCTGCCAAATATGACCCGGACAGTCACATCCACGTCTCCAGCGTCCAGCGGAAATGCATCTGCCACAGGACAACGAATGATATGGACGAGTCCGTTTGTGCGAGGGATGAGAGAGCTCCTTGTCGGGACAAGCACGGCCTCTTCCTCCACGTCTTTCCCCTCTCCGCTGACATGACATAGTATTTTACCACCCAACGCCACGACCTCGTCGGGATCTGCCACGTTGTGTGACCTCCCCAATGACCAATCCTCGTCGAGGCCTTTCACACCGTAGCCAGATCCACCCTGGAGGAACATGCGCCGACCCGCCACCATCACGTCCATGCACAAACGGTCATCGATCTGGTCCCGTGTCAAGATACCTCCCAGCACATAGAGTCGATGGTTGTCCGTCCAAGCGGGCATGATCATAGGGGTGAGGCTTGCAGGTAGTGCTGGCGCTGTTGTGTCAGTAGGGGATACACTGCTGCTATGGATAATGGAAGTGATGCTGACGACGTCGCTGGCATTGCTTAAAGGAGCCTCCTCTATCAAATTGCAGGCTAGGAGTTTGTACGAGATCACGTCTGAGCGCGTGGAAATAAATAATGGAATCAGTGTTAGGCCGAGAGTGGCAAAGGACAATACTGCGATGCGTCGATAAAAACTGCAGCATGTAGACCGTTGGAAACGGAGGGACGTGTTTGCCATCTGACACTGCAGAGGAGCATAGGTCCCGCTTTTTTTGCAATAATTGAGCTTTGTATGCAAGAATGATTCAAGCCAATGTCGCAATCGTTTGTCATTGACGGTAATCACGTTTGTGCCCTGTGTGTGCGTGTACGTTAAGAATATGTGAGCGGTCATCTGGGTCAACGACCAATACGAATGCAATAAGTCATGGTCGTATATTTTTACAAAAGGAGAAACTGCTATCCTTGAAATGTACTCGGCATTTCGGGATGACCATAGAAACAGACAGGTTCATCAACGTGTACTAATAGCAACATTCCACCCGTTTGGTAACGGTCATTATTTCAGTGCGCCCTCGCCGAATCGGGATGATCAAGAAACGGAAATTTGATTTTCGCACACGCTTCAATAGCAATTACCGGGTGGACGACTGATGTCATTACCGGCCAACTTCGTATCCTTCATGGATGAAGGTGATTGTCATAAGGACCACGTCGCCGCTGCCAAGGAGGAGCCCGCGATCTCCATTCTTTTGGAGACAGCCAAAGTCCTTAAAGATAGTCTTTTCAAGACTCCATAACCACAGCTGCGTCGACCTCGATACTTATATTTTTGAAATGGAGTTATCCTGATGCGAAAGGATAAGGCGGCTCTGGCGATCGACCCGGCGCTGTGGTGGATCCCTGCGGACCTGAGTGCTACGACACTCGACTGCCTGGACTCTTATTGACGGCGAAAACTCAAGGGCCTCGGGCTGTGGCCACGATGGGGTATGGAGAGGGGCATGACGCGGGTAGCTTTGGAGATAGGCGGGCGCTACAGGGACATCGGGGCTGCTTTCCTTGGTGAGGCAGTCGGGGAGGACGAGGAGATGGCGCTCGCGTCAGCCCACCTGACGTGGAGGGTAGATAGCACGGCCGGCGTCTTTCGCACGACAGGCAGGGTGGAGGAGGAATTAATTACGGAAGGAGACCCCGAGACAATACGACAGGGATACCTCCCGGGCAGAAATATTCATCCTGATCACCAAAACAATGGAAGGGCTCCACTTGTGCCTCGGAGGGGTGCGGGGGCTCGCGCAAGCCCAAGAGGAGGAAGACGAATCTGAATGACGCTTTGCCGGTAGAACCACCATCGACGACACAGGTGCCAGTGGATGGTAGAGACGATGGAGTGCCCCGGGAAGCGGGACCATCAGGTGTATGGGCAGCCACACCCAACCTCCAGAGAAGCCTGCTCAAATCGTTTCGGGGAGGATCAAAAAGCGAGGAGGCCTCACCCGACGAATGATAATCCGTCTTAAGAATGGTGGGGATTAATTCCGCCAGTTGAAGGACGCGCGCTCACTCGAACAAATGAACCACCTAGTGGAGGGGGAGGGCGGGAGGGCAACCTAGAAGACT